CGCATAACTAGAGAACTCCGTAGCCTAGAAGAAAACTAAATATATTTTCAGAATCAGCACGTCTGGGAGGTGGTTCTGGCTGAAATTTCAAAAAGTTAAAAACTTAAAAATTTATAAAAATTCTATTCATCAATACAGATTAACATTATACATCACGTACGTGTGATTCCATGGTGTATAACCATAAAGGCCCAATAGCCGAATGGATAAAGCATCGGACTCCTAAACCATTGATTCCGTGTTCGAATCCCACCTCGGGAAATGCTTTGTTTCTTTACCTTTGGACTGTTTAGTATGTACTTCTGCCGTATTCACCGTTAATTTCAATTTTTTTACCAAATTTAAACGTTTATTAAAAATCCAGAATAAACTATGGTAGATGATAATGATAGCGCAAACTGACGGGAACACTTCACGGGAGCCTATGTAGGTTACATATCAAATATTATTATATTATCTATATAATTTCATTTTATTATTTAGAATTTTTGACTTTTTTATTTTAATGACTTTTATCTTTTGATTTCTTATTATTTTTTACTGTTGGGATGGGATGGGATGGGATGGGATGGCATGGCATGGCATGCGATGGGATGGGATGGGATGGGATGGGATGGCATGGCATGGCATGCGATGGGATGGGATGGCATGGAATGGCATGTGTAGGGAAGCGCCGGCTGCACAGATAGGTTATATGTATAGGTTTTATTAGTTCGCATGGCATGGCATGGCATGGGATGGCATGGGATAGGATGGGATGGCATGGCATGGCATGGCCTGGGATGCGATGAGATGGCATGCGATGGGATGGGATGGGATGGGATTGGATGGGATGCGGTGCGATGGGATGGGATCGGATGGAATGGAATGCGATGGATGGATGGATGCATGGATGGATGGATGGATGGATAGATAGATAGTTCGATTTTTTTGGGTATTTTCCTTTCAACCAAGCGGTCACCAACTGAGTAACGCCACTGATTTCCCCGGGCAACGCCGGGTATCCCGCTAGTATATATATATATATAAGATCAGAAATGATGTGAATAAAAGAAACTTTGCTCTTATATTCACTCCTGATAAGATCTTACAGACACATAATATGTGTTGTGTGTGAAGGCCGCTTAGTGTACGTGTTCGGGAAAAAAGGGTGCAGATGATATAGCTTCTCGGAATGACAGAGTATACTTGCTAGGCGTGTTCATTCCTAGAATACCAGCCACCGCTACACTGATCCTGCTTTACGCGTGAGAATATTTACGGCCACAACGTATTGAATGTCAAGCATACCGCGCTGCGCTACGTCATGAACACGGCGAACTGTCAGTATTTTTCCAGAGCATGCCAAGCCCGAAAGGGACTCGGCTGTCCGAAACTGTTTGGGTGGTAATCGTATACGCGTGAATATGTGTATGTGTCGTGACGCCGCCCACGCACGGCAGGCATCTGCCAACATAACACCGGACATATAAATATAGATTGTTTGCGTGGGAGACGCTTCGAAGCGTCGTAGCGTTTAACAGATGTGGGTGACTTAATAAGGTTTAATGTCACAACCTTTCCGTATAACCCACTGCATGCACGATTCGATCTATATTCCTGTTAGCCGCGACGAGAATTATTAACGCCAAATTATTAACGCAGAGCATTGGCCATGCACCGGTGTATCTACTGGGCAATGTGCCAGCTACAATAAGCAGGCGAGACGGCCACTGTAGTAGATCACTGTTGGCACGGAGCCAACGTTCTTGTCGATTGACTGTTTAGTGCTGGAACGCTGCCAGATACGCGGCGCGGGAAAAAATCTTTGTTCGCGCGAACAAGGCGAAGAAAATTCCTGCTGTTATCCCGCGCGAAAACGTAAGCCCTTTGTTTCGTTGACACGATATACGCCGACAAGGCATTGAACCAATACGGAATAAAATTATTTCCCTTGCTTTCTGTATACCCGTATAGACCGTATACGCATATATGCCTGCGTCTCTACATATATGCGTTTCCATTGCATGTCAAGTATACGGACTTGTAGTGAACTACGTATAGCTTAATTACTGCGTTCAAATTCCCAGATCGCCCATAAACATGTTTAAGTGTCCCTGGTAAGAGTCATTTGAATAAAGACGCCAGAGCAAGTCGTTGACATGTACATGTATGACCAACCTTGACCCGCCATTTTACACCGAAAACAAAGGCACTGGAATTTCATGTGTCACATGTCACTTGAGGCGAACGAGTTCAATGTGCCACCAGATCCGTTTGGTCTCAAATGTGTGGTCTCAAATGTTTGGTCTCAAATGTGTTACATATAACCAGGAGTAGATAAAGGGAATAAAATCCCTTTATCTACTCCTGATATAACTAATGTAATCATACATTTTCAAATTTATCGAGCTTGCAAGGATATGTCGAGCGGGATATGGTCAGTACAACTATATGAGGGGATCAGCGGAAGAAAGATAATTCCAAATTGATTATTCATCAACAATTTTTTGTGGCAGTTTCATATATACTCGGAAGTTCTATAGATCATGGAAACGTTGTATTTCCGGTGAACCATATAGCTAGTTTAGGATTGTCATCTGTCAATATGTGGAATATGGGTGGAACTTGAAATGATATATCGTGTATTGTATCTTGTATAGTATCTTGTACGCGACTATCCCCGTTTACGTTAGATTAGTTATCATATTATACAAGCACCTATCCTAGCATCTGGCGCCTGCGTGATCAATTCAAAGTAGTTACACACAGTGGCGCCCGCAGATAGAAGCACAGGAAGCACAGTGCTTCCAGTAAATATTGTGTTAAAAAATTTTGTTCCTAAATCTCTCTCGCAAGACTCACCAGATTGCATCTCCAGACGTCTACCATTCAAAAAATTTTCAGGGGGGCATGCCCCCAGACCCCCCTAGCATGCAGCGCGCCTACGGCGCTTGCTTTTTATTGTCACTGAGGATTTTATCCTTCTGTGCTTCTACTTTCTTAAGACCTGTGGGCGCCAGTGGTTACACATATATTATATGATATATCGTGTATTTTATCTTGTATAGTATCTTGTACGCGACTATCCCCGCGTTTACGTTAGATTAGTTATCATAATTATACAAGCACCTATCCTAGCATCTGGCGCTAGCGTGATCAAGCAAAGTAGTTACACATATATAACTACTAATATCTAATTGCTCAGTATATAAACACTCATCACACGGTCATGCTCACGTGGAAGTTAGTTTCACGTGTGTGTAGGCGCGTACGTACACCTGCGACAGCGATAACAATTTAACCGTCACGATACGAGTCACGTGCCAACTAGGTCACTGGCTATAGCTACCGGAATCGTAATTAAATTACCTATATGACCAATTAATGGTCCATCATACCATCGATACCATGCAAAATTCCATCATAACCATTAGAAAAATAAACGTTTGTTTTGGGGAAACAAGGCTGCCCGCTAAAGCAGTTTAGTCCGGTTACAGCTCGCTAGTCCGACGGCCCAATAGTCCGAAAACCCACTAGTCCGAAAGCCCACTAGTCCGGAAACCCATAGGGGATGGGGTACCGATCTATATCTAATGTTTAATTAATTAATTAATTTTTAATTTTAATTTTAATTTTTTTAGGGGATGTAGGGGGAGGTGTGTGTGACAGTGTGTGTGGGGGGGCTAGGTGTGTGGATGTGTGGGAAAATTGTAGACTACGGTAAAACCTCGTTATACCGACGCTCGTAATACCGCCAATCTCACTTATCGCCGCCAGCTTTACGGCTATGTACAATCCTATATAAACGCATTGAGTAGAACATGTGCGACTCGCTGCAACTGCGCTGCGACTGACAATTTTCCAGTCGCAGACCCGTCGCTGACAGTCGCAGTGGTGCTTATGTCGAACTTTCTCTGCGACGCGATCGTCGCTGCAACCTGCAACCGCATGCGATCGGTCGCACGCTTCACCGTTTTACCGTAGTCTAGAATTTTGCACGCATCCACACACCTAGCTCCTCCTCCACACACACCTCCCCCTACATCCCCCCAAAAAATTTCAATTAAAAAATAAATTAAATTTAAATTTAAAATTAAAATTAAAATTAAAAAATAAATAATTAATTAATTAATTAAACAGGACTATAGATCGATACCCCATCCCCTGTGGGTTTTCGGACTAGTGGGCTTTCGGACTAGTGGGTTTTCGGACTAGTGGGCTTTCGGACTAGTGGGTTTTCGGACTAGTGGGCTTTCGGACTATTGGGCCGTCGGACTAGCGAGCAGTCACCGTTTAGTCCACATATAGAACTCAATTACTGGCAGATGCTGCTAGCGGCTGCTTCACGCGCAGCGTAGTATTTAGTACCTGTTTGCTCCAAGTGAAGCTATAGCTGATTCTGCTGCCAGCCTATCTCAACTATACAGTCGCAGGTCCCCGAGAGTCGGAGATCGAAGTACGAAGTGGGGGCGGGGGAAACGCGCGCGGGGTGGAAGAGGATAGGCGAAATAAAGGAAGTGGATACGAAATAGTATATATAGGAGGAAGATCGCGAGTAGAGAACCATGACGTACGTACGTCCGTCACATGGTGTTGGATACACACTGGCACGCCTATATGCTCTTACACCGCTCCAATTAGCCGAGGTGACCCAGCACCATCCATATTGACTGTCCTCGCAGGGAAACCGATCACGGAAATATTTTTAATACCGATCCCACTGCTAATAGTGAGCGCTTACGCAACTAACTATTCTAGCATTGCCAATAAGTGGTGAAAGCGTATATTATATAAACATTATATCAAGCGCTATTAATACCTATTATTATAATACCTAATATTACCCATTATACATAATATATTACCCAGGTATTATTAGCTCTTGACATTATTAATGATGAAGCGAAGTGTACTGCCAGCCAAATATGCCATCGTATCAGGAGCCTGATCGTATACGTGAGGCTAAAAAAACCGCGGCAAAGAAACGAACGCCGAATTTGGTTGGTATCACATGCATGACTGACTCCCTAGCTGGCAACTCTACCACTGTAGTCCTTGTGCTCCCGCTAATAGGTACCCGAAGCTACAGGAACCTGTAGCGGCAGTGACGGGGCTACACACGGGTAGAGCTAGACTCATTGGAATACGTATCTCGGCGCGTGTAGCAGTATCCGCGCGTCTGCACGCGTTGTAGGGCTCAGCCTCCTCTCTAATTATTTTGACGTAGCTGAATCCCCATAAATTGCATAGTCACTGCACAGTGACCTCTCGCGCTGGCCAGCACCACTCACGCGGCCAATCACAACGCTATTGAATGTCTCAGTAGTGGCGCATGCAGTTATTATAAAGCTTTTTATAAATTAAGATGTGGGCGCTCTAGTGGTAATCAATTATAAGCCACTCTAACGTAAGCACCTTCCTTTTACGAAAGATGATGTACTTCGATTGTATTGCCGTAATCGTGCTAATGGAACTCGTGTGCGGATGTATGCACACGCTCTTCGCACCTCTACAATAGCTTTTCAGACAAATACTTAATCATAGTGATCGCATTATATAGTGATAATACTGCCAATGACAATAATATGTGATGATGATGATGAGGAGGAGGATGATGATGATGATGATGATGATGATGACGACGAAGATTGAGATGACGACAATGATGACGGTGACGGCGATGATGAAGATGACGGCGATGATGAAGATGACGATGACGATGGAGATGACGACGATGACAATGATAATTATGCTACGCTATTATGCTGCATATACATTGTAGTCATGAATGCTAAATTGCCGCTGCTCGTGTATTTTAGGCTTTAGACGTGGGGAATGATGCGAGCACCCTGCAGATGATTCCCAGCACGCAGCTCATGCTACCCAAAGAAGAGACGACAGCCATTGATCCCGACTGCTCGTCTAACGGAAGTGGGGATGAGCTGGAGCGGGGAAACTGGACAGGAAGATTCGACTTCCTCCTCTCCCTACTTGGATACTCTGTCGGCCTTGGCAATGTCTGGAGATTTCCCTACTTGTGCTACAAAAATGGAGGAGGTGAGTTCGCGTAATCGGCTCCTTAGTCGTGAAATGTCAATACAGTAGTATAAATCATGGAAAGTCAAACGCAGGGGTTAATTAATTAATATTTGTTTTTACAGGTGCATTTCTCATCCCCTTTGTGGTAATGCTGCTCATTGCTGGTCTGCCTCTCATGTTCATGGAGTTGGCTCTTGGGCAGTTCGCCAGCCTCAGCCCGATTGTATTATTCGGAAAATTCAGCCCTATCCTAACAGGTTCGTTATTGAAATTTCTTTATCTCAGTATCTGTATTCTTGCATGTGAATGTTTAACATTTCTTATTGCACATTCTTACAACCCATTTTGTCAATATCCAACGCATTTACATTTATATATATATTTATATATATATATATATATATATATATATATATATTATATATATATATTTAGAATAATGACTACTCGAATTTTGCATTTTGCAAGTAGGCCTACGCTATACGCATTTTTTTCAAAAGATTTAATGCATTTATTTAATGATTTTTCTTTAGGTCTAGGATATGGAATGGTGATTGTGTCCACAGTCGTCTGTCTCTACTACAACATGATTATAGGGTGGAGCGTATTCTATCTGTTTGCCTCTTTCACAAAAGAATTACCTTGGGAGAGGTGTAACAGTGGCTGGGCCACGAAAGGTACGTGCTGCCAAGGATACACCTATACCCTCTAGCTACTATATATAGTTTGTATATAGAGCCTTCATGGCCACCAGCAAGAGACGGGTACGTGACTCTTTATTGTCTGCGGAATGGCCCTCATTTATAATATGGATAGGATCTCGTTGAACCAATATTGTTGTCCGGTCGTTGAACCACGTGCTGTCAGGTCTGGCAAGCGATGCCGAATAAACAGTGAATAGAATTCTCGCTGCTTGTGTTGCAGACTGCTACTCGTTCCTGGAAGCCAACGAGTGTAAGGAGGAGGGAGGGATTTACTATCAGACGACATGCCACAATGCTACAGCAGCGGACCCGTGGGAAAACCTGACGGAACTGGCAGGCAATGCAACGAGAAAGCTTCCAGCTGAGGAGTATTTCCAGTAAGTAACAATTTTTATATATAAGTATTACCAAAGGTGATTACCTCCGCCAAGGAGGTTATGTTTTCGCCCCTGTTAGTTTGTTTGTTGGTTTGTTTGTCTGTCAACAGGATATCTCAAAAAGTTACGGACGGGTTGGTCTTGGGCCATCAACCAATCGATTAAATTTTGGTGGTGATCTGGATCCAAGATTTTTTTAATTAATAATTTTTTTTTATTGCTCTTGTTTGATCAGTTTTTTTTATCCAATCCGGTTATTATTATTATTATTATTATTATTAGCATATTAATATGCGTAAAATGTGAGCAGCTGTAGATAAATCACTTTCACTGTTAGGAATAAAAGGCACTGGTGTGACATATGGTGGTCGTGGTGTGCGTAGCATAAACGGGACTCTGATTGCATTGCAGGAACTTTGTGCTCGGCATCTCGTCGGGAATAGAAGAGATAGGAGAATTACGCTGGCAGCTTGTTCTTGCACTTCTCATGGCCTGGCTAATCGTATTCCTCTGTCTCTCACGTGGTGTCCAGACATCCGGCAAGGTATGCGTGCCTGTCTTCCCGCTTGACTATGTGTGGCCGATCTCACACGGTCCGGGCAAAATGCATGTTGCATCCTTCGAGTCTGTGCGAGTTCTTCTACTCGAACTTTATTTTGATTTGCACCACTATATAAGTATAGCAGTGCCCATCCAGCAGCGGACCTCGGAATACACGTATCAGGGAGGGCGCTATACTTTAAGTAATCTTTTAGCTTGTGCTTATAAGAAGAACGTGAGAACGCAAAAGTTATGAGTAGGGTCGGTATAGTTATATATTATTAGCTTATACTCGTTATTATAGTCGGTATAGTTATATATTATTAGCTTACTCGTTTTACTCGCATTAATTCCTTGTTAGTCGATCGACCTGGCACAGTAGTTATCGGTATTCTAGTGTGTAACACGGACTCTTTTTGGATTGCTACTGTAGGTGGTCTACTTCACCGCCCTGTTCCCGTACGCAGTGCTCGTTATATTATTTGCACGAGGAGTGACGCTACCTGGAGCTAAAGACGGCATTCTGTGGTATATCATCCCAGACTTCAGTCGCCTGGGTGATGCACAGGTATGAGATACCATGTACACCCAGCATATATGTATATATATATATATATATATATATATATATATATATATATATATATATATATATATGTATATATATATATATATATATATATATATATATAATACATATAACAAAGATACATGTAGGATAATACTAGCACGCATGCACGCACACACACACATGCTATTATTGTCCCAAATGTGCTGTTATTGCTCTTACTATATGTTAATAACATATACTGAAGCCAGAAAATAGTTAATAAACGTTTCCTCATGTTTTCGCAATATATGACAAGAACTATGAACTATGTATGCCCTGACTGCAGAACTATGAACTATGTATGCCCTGACTGCCGTGTTATTAACAGGTGTGGCAGGATGCTGCTGTACAGATCTTCTTCGCGTTGAGTCCGGCTTGGGGTGGCCTCATCACACTAGCAAGTTACAACAAGTTCCACAACAACTGCTACAAGTAAGCGTTGCTGCAAGCGGCTTAATTAATCTCGATCGACGTCCATGTTGTCACGATCGAATAATATCAATTTAAATCAAATTACTCTATTTACACATATGAATTACATTTTGGAGGTAAGATATTAGTTGAACAAGTTAATAGACAATGCTGATGAAATTAAAACGAATGAAACTAAATAAATAGAAGTGATGGAGGGCGAAATGACAATTCAGTCCTGCACTCAGTCATTCAGACAATATCAGCGAGTTGAACGTCATAGCACGACGATACGTGATGGATATTAGCAGGAGTAGATAATAGAGATTCTATATGTGAATAATAGAGACGTCTATTATTCACTCCTGATATTAGTAGGTGTGACGCACATCAGTGACAGACTACATCGCAGCTGTATTCATCTACGTCTCGTTTCTATTACAGAGACGCACTCATCGTTTCTCTCAGCAACGTGCTAACCTCTATATTTGCTGGGTTCGTCATATTCTCCGTTGTCGGATTTCTGGCGCTGGAGCTAGACAAACCAATCGACAAAGTTGTTAGCCAAGGTAACTACACCCCTCTCTCCAAATACCGGTTTACATGCAATGATTTAGTAATGTGTTCCGTTGTTATACGAGTGTCACTCTTTTGTTTGTTGGTTATTATAACTAGGTCTAGTAGTGATAAGCTGAATAGAGACTCACATTTTCATTCGATATTTATTTGCACAGGAGCTGGTTTGGCATTCATCATCTATCCAGAGGTCGTCACCCGGCTACCTCTCCCGCCTCTGTGGGCAGTGCTGTTCTTCCTAATGCTCATTACCTTAGGACTAGACAGCCAAGTAAGTAATTTGTTTAGCGCATCTGCAGCTAGAGACAAACCGTGTAAAGCAATGTCGATCACAGCCAGATTCTATTACGTCTCTTAAGAGAATATCTGGAAGAACCATTATTATAGAAGAACTGCCCCCATATGCTCACGTGTTGTCAGTAGAATATTCGTCTATTTTGTCTGCTGTGAGAAAGACAATGTGATGCCACTTTGGGTCGCAATTAATCTTCAAGATAATGACCGAATTTTGCATCACGCGTGATTACATTGGTCTCTCGCCAACAGTTTGCTCTGCTGGAAACCGTAACGACAGCCATCTTGGACACATGGCCACACCTGCGGGAGAGGAAGACGTGGGTTGTGTTCTTCTGCTGCGTCACAGGATTTATCGGCGGTCTAATATTCTGCACACAGGTGAGTCGTGATGTGGAGTTCATACTGAACAGAAAACAACGTATTAGCCAGCGAGCCGTGCAGCCGTGATTTGCACGGTCAGTTTTGAAACTGCACGGCCAAAAGAAATTTTAATTTTAACAATTTCCGAGGGAGGCGCCCCGTACTCCCCCAATGAGAGGGGCGGATCCTCTCTCATACTCCCCCCCCCCGTAGGCGTTCACGAAGACCACTACGGCGGTCTTGGCTGAGACACACAAACAATTGCACTCCCAAATATTTTTTCTGCACTCCCAAATATTTTTTCTGCACTCCCACAATACTCATTCCTGGCTAATACCCTGACAGAAAAGCACGTAGGAGTCGAAAATCGTTGACTCTGCATAGACCGGATCAGCTGCTACAAAACGCTTTCTACATTGCATATTTAATAAGCTCTCGTGTATCGTCTGCTTGCAGGGTGGCATGTACGTGCTACAACTAGTCGACACCTACGCTGCCAGCTGGTGTGTGATCCTCATGGCTCTAACGGAGTGCATCTTCGTAGCGTGGGTTTACGGTAAGTAAGAAACACGACATGTCGCGCGCTACTTGAATGATTCTACACGTTGGAGGCTGATGAATTCTCAGAGATGAGTTATACCAATTGATGTTCATTGTGGAGGGGGTGCACATAGTGGTGCACAAACTTGTCACTGATGGATTGTTTTTCATTGGCAGGTGCGGACAGATTCCTCAGAGATATTGAAACTATGATTGGCCCAATGCCAGCATCCTGGCATTTCGTGTGGTCGTGCTTCTGGAAGGTTGGATCACCCGTTGCTCTCTCGGTGAGTTTCCAATAAAGGATATCTGGTGATATTGATTACATTGCCATGAAAACAAAAATCTGAAAGGATTGTATCAGTATGCTACATGCCGATTACTCACTATTACGAGTATTTGGAATTTGGAATTAGTAGCTATAATCGATCAGTTCATTTTTCATATCAGGCAGCAATTGAGAATGCCAGCTAACACGTATTTGTTTTGCCTGCAGTTCGTCCTGGTTTTTAGCTGGCTGCAATATGCACCAGCAACTTACGGCGCAGACTACGTGTACCCCTGGTGGGCAAATGTGATTGGCTGGGTGCTTGCCCTGGCCCCTATACTTGCTATCCCAGCACTAGCTATCAACCAATTCTGGCTCCCCAGCATCCAGCAAGAAAAAACCTTTATAGAGGTGAGTGGCTCTATCTAATAATATGATATAAGATAGATAGAGCTAATCAGATGAAGATATCATATAATATATCATATATATTCATATATATATATATATATTTATTTATATATATTCATATATATGATATGATCATATAGATATGAGCTAATCATAAAGTTAATAATATGATATGCTTTGATTAAGCACTATTTTCGATTCTTTTTCTTTTCTATTCTATTCATTATTCTACTCCATTTAATTATATGATAGCACGGGCATTCAAGCACCATGTGTCATCTATACCTTGTGATATAGTTAGCTAAAAAATAGCATTTTATTCAAGTAAATTACAGTAGTGGGTTTCCTGCACATTTCAGAAACTGAAGAAACTAGTGCAGCCATCCAAAGACTGGTGTCAAGCTAACAGGCGTGGCACGTATAAACTACAGGACAGAAAACTCAGCACGGTTATTCGCTTTGACAACTCGGACACAAGCCTTGAGGCCCTCGCATTCCAGTCTCCAGCATGATGTGGAGTGATTCAATGAGAGGCAGCAACCTGATGAGCATCGTCTCACAAGTCGGCAACATGAAAAGCGTGGCTTCATTGACGACAGTAACAGGACGTGCACTTCCATAACACGATGGGGATGTCAAATACGGCATGCACACTGTCTCGCTGCACGTGCTATAACGTTCTCAATTACGGATAAAAATATACGGTCGATTCCTTACGTACTTCACACAGTCAACCTGACTGTGTGGCTGCAACTTCCTCTTTGAAGTGAAAATTCCCGTAAAGCCTCGCCATCCAGAAAGATCATGACCATGCCCAGGTTCATACTGACCACGAGCCAACCATTCAGACGTATCGATTTTAAAACTTGATTATTTGACACAATATACAGAGACTCCCCGACTTACGAACATGTTCGGTTCCGAGCGGTCATTCGTAAGTCTATTTGTTCGTAGGTCGAACATATGTACGTACATAAACAGTATTGTACAGTAGTGTAGTATATGTCTGTGTGAACATCGAGTAACCTAGATGTGTACATAGTGTAAACATATACGTGAACACAGGAGTTGGCGAAAGTCAAAATCAGCGGGGCGATCGTGTCTTTTTATTCACCAATATTGACATTATACACTAATGGACTTCAGGACAAATTGTTCGTATCATCGAAAGTTCGAAACTCAAATGTTCGTAAGTCGGAGAGTCTCTGTATGTAAGGATCTGATCATCCACGGGGACGGATTAACCCCATTCGTCCAACCACCATTCGTCCAACCATCATTCAGGAATCATCCAAACCCTTGATCTCACCACCACAGGGAATCGACTACTTTACCTAATTATACAGGGTCTCTGCCAAACTGACATTGTTACTTTCTGAGAGAAAAAACTCATACAACCTTGCATAATTTGATCTTATTGGAAAAAATCTCATAAACACCTTGCATCACTTTGACATCATTTGTTCATAAAGTGTCTGCAGGTGTTACTGGGATTTCATGTCCAGTCAGGTTATTACATATAGCAAGTGTACAGAGGTACAATAATATCTAGGTATTTATTGCTGTGGTATATGCATATGTTCATGGTACCATGTACATAGATACACAAAACGTTTTGTGCATCGATCACTGTCTTCCAATTAACTACAAGTATGTATGCATGACTATCATTTGTATATATTTTTGATAATGACTTACTGTAAGATGTTCTTACACTGCATAAGTTTTGCTAGGCTATTGTCTTGACCCACAGTAATTTGCATATGCTAAAACAGTTTCTTTAATTTTCACTATTTCGATGAATTATTAAAAACTTCACATGCTACCTGTAACCACATAGCTACTGAAATACGCAGCTTGAAAGTTCAATGCGTAAAAATTCAGATTTAGGACTATGAAACATATAAATGTAGAATATATTCCTTAAAATAAGTTCATTCGGTTTGTAGATAATAGATCTATCTTGGTAAATTTTTACTCAACCGTGTTGATCATCCATAAGCAGTACGTTTTGATCAACACGGTTGAGTAAAAATTAACCAAGATAGATCTGTAGAATGTATTGCTCTCGTACTTAATCGAAGTACATGTTTGCACAAACATTTCAACCACTTTATTAATATTTTAATTAAACTATATTGCAGATAATTATATAACGTTCACTCTTATTCAAACTGTAAATATATATGTATTTTGTTCCGGTGGCCTAATGTAAATAAGTATTTTAGATGCATAATATAGCTACATTATATGAATTATAGTGAAGTGTGTTTATCTCTGTTGTATCTTTTTTGGCCAAGTAAATTCTATAAAAAGATAAATAAATACTTGTGAACCTGTTACAGTCCAACCCCTCAATGAGATTGAATCACTTACTTGTCTACATTACACAGCCTATATATTAGATTAGTTTAGCACCATATCCACCTATATCTGTAAAGAGGTATAACCTCATTTTAAGAATATTCTTCATGATCCAAGGCACAGGCACATGGCACTTGGAACAGTCAGGAATGAATATTATCATTATCGTAACTTTCCAAATACTAGACTGATTATGCTTTGTGTCATTGTAGTGTTTGGACAATTCACAATCATATTTCCATTAATGACTTAATTTGCTCCAATTGCCTGTGTCTAACCCTATGATCAAATACAATTAAAGGGACTGTAACAGGGGCGACATGGTGTACATTGCAAGGGCCTGCACTATAGCCACAAGTTACCTTCTCGCTTTTCACTATGTGGTGAGAAGGTGCTACGACGCCGATGGTTCCTAAGACGGTGCTACACTGAGAAGGTTCCTCTGACGTGAAAACAGTCGTAGAGTCTCGTCGGGTTAAGGCCTGCACATGAAGGGAGGAAAGAATCAATGTGCATATTTTCACTTGGCATATATCATGCACAGAAGCCTACTATGAGTGTCAACCCCGAGATTTCGCCACAGACTACAGGTGTGGCCGCTTCGCTCCCGCTACACTACACTCTACAGGACAGCGAGCGGGAACAAAGGGGCTACACCGGTAGAGCTAGTATCAGGAGTGTCATAATAATGATCTATGTAAATATATTATGACACTCCTGCTAGTAGTAGTAAATTGTATTACTAATAGCAGGAGTAAGATAATATATATTATCAGGAGTGTATCAATAGGAGTGTATCAATATACACAGTGTAGTGATATTGATCCTATTGATACACTCCTGATATTATCTTACTCCTGCTAATAGTAATAGTACGCCTCTCCAGTGGCATGGCTCACGTGATAACGCGATGTCTGATGATGACAACGATAACATCACGAGTTAACAACACTGTCCATATAATGATATATAACATTACAGTTACACCCACAGCACAGGCACTTAATTGGAACGTCTCATAACGATAAATAAACACGAAATGTATTTACTACCAAAGTCTGAATGTTTCTCTACTTTATTTCGCATATTATTGCCGATAATCACCTGTAAATGCCGGTCAAATGCTCATCTGCAACACACAAGTACACCGCACGCCCGCCCTGTGCACAAACAACATGAATAAGAGAGACACGTAGTGAACATGAACAGAAAAATGAATCTCTTATTCATGTTGTTTGTGCACAGGGCGGGCGTGCGGTGTACTTGTGTGTTGCAGATGAGCATTTGACCGACATTTACAGGTGATTATCAGCAATAATATGCGAAATAGAGTAGAGAAACATTAAGACTTTGGTAGTAAATACATTTCGTGTTTATTTACCCTTTTTTTTATTGAGACGTTCCAAGTGCCGCTGAAAGGGTCTATGTCCCTCAGGGTACTGCCGGAACGTACCCAGGGTTTGGTCCGGTATACCGGAATGTACCCTGGTACTATTTAATTACTAATTAGTCCGAGCCGACGCAAACCCCAGTAATGGGTAATAAACCCGCACCCTCAGATTAGCAAAGCGGAGTTATAACCTCTGCATTTGCAGACAACTATGATCTATCTAATAATATGCCGGACCGTACCTCGCCTACTCCACTAACGTCACGAGTCTATAGGGAGTCGCCTACGCCTATTCCCTAACCCTATCAGATAGTTAACAGGGTACGTTCCGGTATACCGGACCGTACCCACGGTACGTTCAGGCAGTAACCTGGGGGACATATACTATACCCTATGAGCATTGAGCCCAAGTGCCCGTGCCTGTGGTTACAGTGTCAGTGTTACACCTGTCAGTGTCATCACAGCCGGCTATCATTGCCTTATCGCCTTATCAATATAGAGATATCTCTTCTTTCCGAACGAATAAGGCAAACGAATAAAGCAATATAACTATAAGTTATAACTTATACTATATAGTAGGCCTAGAACTTGCACCTACTTTGAGGTACCCCTTTTTGGTATTTATAACCATAGCCATAGATATACACAAAACAACTAATGTCGTAATGATCAAGGAGCTGCTGTATAACTGTTATTATGCAGCTCCTTGGTAATGATTGGCGTTTGTAGACTGGTACCCGGTCCCACCTATCGGCTAGGGTTAGGGCTCGGTCCCACCTATCGAGTAATCGAGGTGGGAGCGAGTACCAGTCTATGGCGTTTGTTGCAATGGCAACTTCCGTAAAGCAAAATGCGGTAAAAACACAAGCGAGTTTGCGTAGACTGTACAGACTAGATAAACGTAATTTTATTACTATTTAAATTTATAAGAAAATGACTCACATTAATACTTCAAATAACATAATTATAAATGCAAAACTATTTAGATACGAAGTAATAATTTACCGTGTTATTTACGGAAGTCACCATACTTTGTGAATGTCACAACACAACAAACCCCAGCTGTTTGATGTCTGCTTAGACGTTTAAGAATAAGATCACGCGTCTGAGGGTAGGCCTACAGGTTGTTCGCTTAATGGTTTTAAGTGTGATTGTGGCCTATCAATCATTGATTTTTCAGTTGCAATGTAAACGAGGTTGAATCGATCCTCTGAGCCTACAGGTATAGCCATATACAGTTGATTGTACAAATTTCAATACTAATAAATTTTAAATCTAAAACGTCATCTGTTTATGTACATAATTTTTCTTCTGAGAAAGACGTTGGTTTAAGTATAAATAATTAACCAAATTAACAACTATAGGATGGAAGATTAACGGTGGCAGTACGGTTAGTTGTACCGGCTAGTAATTAATTGCACCAATGAATAGAGTGTATATACCCACATAACACACATGTGATGTATGATGTAGTACTTGTGCGTTTAAATCAATTTATTATTATATTCATTTAATTATTTATGTAATTGTCACCATGAACGACGATGTTTAAACATTGATTATTGTAAGAATCATAGTGTTGACGGTTGTAGAGCGAGTATACGGTACGGTAGCCTGTAGGCCTACCTCTCCCATTAATACAAAACATATTATACTAGCAGTAGAAATTAACGCATCTTTTTACCTTGCTGCTATATTAGGTATCGTGTCATGACATTGGCACTTATACCCACTACATATACTAGTATAATAGTACATTCATTTATGCGCATTACTGTAATTCACTACAAAACAATCATGATTATATAGACTTAGAATTTAGATGATATAGAACTACTGCACCATGCGTGGTGATTGTTCCTTGTGCAAGTAGCCAAGTTAAGCCCGGCGCACATTGCCGAACATTTTGCTCAAAAACATTATCGTAGCAATGTTCCATGAAATGTTCGGCAATGTGCGGTGAAAAAAGTCGCCGAACATTTGTTCCGAACAATGTTTATGAAGATCGGAAATGTTTGATATCTCGAACATTGTTCGTCGAATGTTCGTCAATGTGCGCTGAATGTCGAACAATTCTAGGAACATTTGTAAAGTAGTAACCAATAGCAGCACTGTTAAGCCCGGCGCACATTGCCGAACATTTTGCTCAAAAACATTATCGTAGCAATGTTCCATGAAATGTTCGGCAATGTGCGGTGAAAAAAGTCGCCGAACATTTGTTCCGAACAATGTTTCTGAAGATCGGAAATGTTTGATATCTCGAACATTGTTCGTCGAATGTTCGTCAATGTGCGCTGAATGTCGAACAATTCTAGGAACATTTGTAAAGTAGTAACCAATAGCAGCACGATATGTGGTCACATGATTTTTGTGCCCATTCATGTGCCAATCACGTGACTCTTTACAACACAGCTACTAGACGGCCCCACGAGATTGTTCGCTGCAAAATGTTCGGGACGAACATTTGTTCGGGAAAATGTTTGGCAATGTGCGCCAGGCTTTAAGTAGCACTGATTGTTTTACCACCTTCCTTCCTCTCCTGGGTCCCACAACTGTCTGCATGAGTTTGAAAACTGCCTAGCTCGGTATGACCATTAGCCCAATTATCCATCTCTAGTATCCACACCTCCATCAAACCTGTACTGTTTAGTTTTGTCGCTAGTCTGTTATTTTAATATTTAATGACTCTCATAATACATTTAATTAGTCTTGGCTTTTAGCAATAGCATCAGGCATATCTATTATAGATAAATAGTGTGAAGCTATCTAGAGTTTACTCTGTGGTTAGCTTGCAATGGTTATGCTTGTGATTTCAGCTTGTGCACATGTCATATGTTATGGAAGAGCAGTAGTCCGGTGTCTGTCGTATCTATAGGTTATCAGGAAAAGGCTTAGTGTTGTGAATTCCATTAGAAATCACAACAAAGGTAAGGTCTTCTGTTGTTGTTTTTCTGGAGATTCTGACAATGTTAGTTATATATCTGCCCTATCATCAGGCATACACAGTGAATTACATCATATTTCTTTTAATTGTCGTAACATCATATAGGATTATTTTACGTCTCATGATTGTATCGTGAATGGATTAAATATATACATTTTTGAATTTGGACTTCCAACTACAACGTGGGCAACGTAGCTAAATTTCTAGCACTCATACCTTCACTGTGAACCGTTTTGCTACACCCCGTTCACTGCTATAGCGTTGTTGAACAAGCTCCATAGCTACATTGATGGCTTTAATATAACTATTCACGGCAATAGGCTTCTCTTATGCAAAGGTCATTGCACCCTTCCCGCTTCGCCGTGATCACACGATAGCGACAGTGTCTGCACCTCGGTAAAGTTGGCTGGGTAATTGCTAAGACGAATAATGTACGTCTTGCAAATCTAATCTATCTAAGGCTATCTATGCATGACTATCTTGGTCATGGGCAGGGCAGTTGGCAGGACTTAGTGAGTGCAATGTTTCAGTGATGTGCAGCAATGAAGCAACATCTCTCGCAGGACGACTCGCCCTGCCTTCGAGATCATGACTTAATTGACAGTGAGTTGATACAGCTTAGCTCCACCAGCCTGTATGATGCCGTGGGAGTTGGTGGAGCCAGAGTGGGCCTAGGTGTATCAACATCTAACCTTACCCTCTATAATGGGTAGGTATATATATATTTCACACCACGTAAAAAGCACCAAAATGCCATTCAGCATGCAGCAGTTTTCATAATATTCGTGGCCTGTGTGCTCGCGTGCGCGCCTGTGAGCGTGTGTGTGACGGTGCGTGCGCGCACGTGCGTGTGTGAGTGCCTGCGTGTGTGGGCGTGTTCGCGCACGGGCATGTGAGCATCAAATATCTTTGGTAACAATATATTAACCCATAATTTAAAGAAATCACAACACAAGCGTAATTAGATAATTGCAGCGTCTGTGGGCTTTGTAGCTAACAGCGTTAAACACTTCATTATTCAGTAGATCAGACATCATTAATTCATGGAACACAACCCTCGTAATATTAGTTAACCATACATGCCACTCCTGCGCGCTAGATTAAAAGCATTTTACAGCGATTGGTTTTCCCTTTAATAAGCTAAAGTGCAATCATATAGAGAGGAAAATAGCAATGATCACGTCTTTGTGTATTAAGTATCCTTGTTCATTGATTATCAGTACAAGTATTAATTATCAGTATCAGTAAACAGTACCTTTGTGTATTGATTACTAACACTAGAATTATCAATATCTGTGATCTATACTCTTATGTATTCATTATCAGTATAAGTATTAATCATCAATCAGGTAACCAGTATCTCTGTGTATCTATCATTAAGTATATGTATTAACCATCAGTCAGTATTCAGTATCCTATTTGTAATAATCATCAGTGTCAGTATCCGTGTGTGTATTTATTATCGGTCTCAGTACTGATTATCAATACTGGTGATTAGCATCCTTGTGTATTGATTGATACTTGTGTAGGAGCAGGCATTCCTCAGTGAACTCGACCAGGTCAGAGAACGGGCGTACGGGATCTGGGCTGTCGCATTACGTGCACGTTGCCGTGCGCATACGACCTCTCAGCAATGATGAGATACAGAGGAAGGACAGGTTCCTGCTGTCCGTGCCCCAGGCCGGACAGATATCGGTGAGTGAGTCATCGGTGGCCTCCGTGTGAGAAGAGTACTGGGCAGAGCAAAACCCGGGTGTGACCGAGAGCTGGCAGCGCGCGTGCCTGCCTGCTCAATTCTTTTTGTTTACTGCTACTATACAGATGTATTATACGATTATATATATATA